AAGAAAGAAAGAAAGAAAGAAAGAAAGAAAGAAAGAAAGAAAGAAAGAAAGAAAGAAAGAAAGAAAGAAAGAAAGAAAGAAAGAAGGAAGGAAGGAAGGAAGGAAGGAGAGAGAGAGAGAGAAAGAAAGAGAGAAAGAGGGGGGAGGGAGAGAGGGAGGGGTATAGAGAGGGGTAAGGAGAAAATGGAAAGAAAGGAAGATAGAAAGAAAGAAAAAGAATGAGAAATAAAGAGAAAAGGAGGGAGGGAGGGAGGAAGGGAGGGAGGGAGGAAAGGAGGGAGGGAGACTACTCTCCATGCATACCACTATACTTTCTGTTCTCCTAGGGTTTGGTCTCTTTTTTGTTGTTATTGGTGGTGGTGGTGGTGATATTTTTCTATTTACCTACCATAGGGAGAAAAATAACTGAGAGGGAACTTCTAAATATTTGGTTACCTCATTAGGAAAATCCAAAGTCATTGATAAAAGGTAAACTGTTACTTTCGTATAAGATTTTGAACTTCGGTCATATGGGAACAAATAGGTTCATGGAACACTCGTCATCCTCTGGTTGTACAGGAAGTGCTCATATGAGCCACAGGGGAGGAAAGAATACTTCTCAGTGAGTTACATGATAATATCATGGCATCCATGTTTTTCCCAAGGTGAATGATGTAACTCCATCATAAGTGTGCATTGTCCCATCCAGATATGTTTAAATTCTAGCCACACATGTATAGTGGTCATAAAGCCAGAGGTCACCGCCACAAGACAGAATGCTTAGATGAAGACAGTGCAATGATTTCTGGGTTATAATTAAATAGAAGTGGTCATTTTCAGGCAGAAATTTAGCAGAAACAAATTCATAGAAATTTGGTCCTTAAAGTGAACTTCAAGCAGTAGCACAACCTGGAAATAACCTGTAAATAAAGCTAGATTTTGTGGGAGAAAAACAAAAGAGAGGGTAACAATGCCAAGAAAGAAATGTACTTATTATCTTACCTCTCCATACAGCATCTTTACAAGAAAATAATTATTTTTTTAAACGCTAGATTTGGCCAATTCTGTAGCATCAGACAAGCACAGGCTAGACGAAAGAATACAAAGCCAGAACTAGACGTCTAGACTGATCAGAACAAATTAGAACCCATTCTTCAGCTACATGTCAAATTTTTCTTAATATTTCTTATCATACATTAAAGGGAAAAGCAAATAGCATATCATTGTTAGAAGCCTATAAATGTGAACCATTAAATTCTAATATAGAAAGACCTATCATTTTCAATAATTTTTTTAAAAAACCATGATAAGGAATATACCAAGCTCATACTAAATATAAATTACCCAACTATTAAATTTAAGGTCATTGCATCTAGAAAGGTAAACATCAACACTTTTATATTTCATGTTAGACAAATACACCAAAGGAATCAATTCTTCCTAACTGAATAAATGACTTCCCAAAACATAAATTCTGTTTCAGGATCAAAAAGCTCACACACAAACAACAACAACAACAACACACACACACACACACACACACACACACACACACACACACACACACGGACTTCAAGGGTCTTATTATTATTTTTCCAGTGTTTAGAAAGTTGTAAATTGCTAAATCTTGAATTCCTCTCAAGATTTCAGAGTGGCAGGTGTGTACTTCTGAAGATTAAAGAAATCAAGACAGATTTGCTTAGCACGGATCAGAGAAGGTGGCTAAATTAAGGCAATGGAATAGATAATCACAACAAAAACTGAACTGAAATAGGCTCCAACATTCATAGAGACCATCACACATTTAGTGAAAGTACTAGGGATCATAGAAGAAAAATGGAAATGAACTGAGAAAATAAATCCAGGGACAAACACTTAAGATTAGAAGCAGATGTGTGATTTTCATATAATTTCTCCCTGATTCTAACAAATGATTTTTTAATTAAAAATATAGGACTACAGAGCTGGGAACAGATGACTCACCCTTAGAACTCAGGAGGCTAAGATCTGAGGATCACAGTTCAAAGCCAGCCCAGGCAGGAAAGTTAAACTCTTGTCTCAAAAAAACTACCAAAAAAAAAGAAGTGTAGCTGTGGCTCAAGTGGTAGAGTATTAGCCTTGAGCACAAAAGCTCAGGGACAGAGCCCAGGCCCTGAAGCCAAGCCCAGGACCTACACAAACACACACACACACACACACACACACACACACACACACACACACACACACACACTAGGAGTACAAGATCCAAAAGGAATCTATAGAACACTGAAATAGTCCTCAAATCTAAAGTACATCAGAATTGGCAACTATTGTCTAAGTCCAAAATTTCATACATCTCCTCTATCATTCCAGATGCTGAAATCATCTCCCAATCTGTATATTTCAGATTAGATTTGTGACTTCTTACTGCATGGAAAGAAGCAACACTGTTTACATAGAAAATTCTGGAAAGAAATCAAGGAAGAGATGTTTAACATTGATAAACAGCTTTTTGATAAGCCCATTTATGTAACTAAGAATTTACAAATAAATCTGGGTCACTAAAGTGACGAGTAATATTGGATCATTAAATTCTCTGACCACCTCCACCCCCCCTCAACACTAAAAAATACCTAGTTGGGCGGAGGGGGGGCAGATGGGAAGGGATGGGAAGGGGAAACAAAGGAGGAGGCAACAATGCTTGATAAGAAATGTACTCATTACCTTGCTGATGTAATTGTAAGCCCTCCTCTGTACAGTATTTTCACAATAAAAAAATTTTAAAAACCTACTTACCAAGTAAACTTGCCACAATGGAAACCAATCCTGTGCCAGCTCCAATTTCAATCACATTCTTGTCAACCATATTATATTGCTTTGCATTTTTTTCCAGGAAATAGCATAAAACAAGAGCCTATGAAATGTTAAAAAGGAGGGCTGTTTAGTAGCAAGAAAGAACAGAAAATTAAACACTAATAGATTAAATAGATGCCATGATTATGATACACATGTGTGCACATGTTGAGTAGCAGTATATTTGCGGATGCTTATATACATCATTCCAGAAATGACTACCAGAAATAAATCTTCTCATAGGTTCAGTATTTTTTTTAGCTAGAAAAATTCCTTGGAAGCTGGTCACCAGTGGCTCATGGCTGTAATCCTAGCTTCTCTAGACGCTGAGATGTGAGGATCATGGGTCCAAGCCAGCCCAGGTATGAAAGTCAGTGAGACTCTTATCTCCAATTAACCACCAGAAAATTGGAGGTAGAGCTGTGGCTCAAGTGGTAGAGCACTAGCCTTGAACTGAAGAGCTCAGGGAGAGCACCCAGGCCCAGAGTTCAAGCCACACAATCAATACAAAAAAAAAAAGAAAAGAAAAGAAAAATTCCTTGGGGGTTATTGAGAGGAAAGTCAGAAATAACTAAGAGTATACAGTGCAGTGGCTTAAGTCTAATTACCATTAAAGAAAGCAACCTCTAGAACACTAGTCATTTCCAAGTTGAGTCTGATTGCCCTTTATGGGGCCATTGGTAAAGAAGTAGAGGCTTAACTCATTTAAAAAAAAAACTGAAAGTAATAAGCATTTTTATTTAACCTATAAATGTGATTAACTAAAAGTAATTGGTGAAAACAATGTCAAATTTTTAGTGTTCTTTGAGGTCACAGATTAGAGCTCTAAAAGGTGATGTCCCATTCCAAGTACAATACAAAAATGAACTTTAAAACTGACTGGAAAACATATGGAAAGTAAATTTAGAAGGAATTATACCGAGGGCCAAACAACAGCTCCATAACAATCCGTGGCTTCTTTAATCCGAATCTCATGACCCACAAAATGAAAGCCTTCCCAGGAAATGGTGGTTACCACTGCAGGAATAAAACATCTCGCCATGATCTCTCTGACCACTCGAGTGTCATCACACTCTTCCTCGGCCTCTGCAAAGACAAAGTTAGTGATTGTGTTTGTAGCCCTGTACACAATGAGAAGAATCTGATGGAAATGCAACATTTCTTAGTCTACGTCACTTATGCCTATTTATTGAGGGCAGACGAAATAAAACTTTGAAATATCTCACAAATAAGCCTACTGGGGTGTCGACATCAGATTTTTATTGAAGTTGGTATTATCACTAGCCATCTCAACCATATTAAATGAATAGGGGATGAGAGATGGAAGAAGTGGGGGGGAGGGGTATGGACATTCCTTAGGGTCCAGACAGAACCAAGTAGGCCCCAAATGGCTCCCAGCTGAGCTACATTCCACAGGAAAGGACCTGTCTACAACCCCACACTCCCACTACCACAAATGCTGACCCTCTATGGACATACAGAGAAAACAGAAAGGTGAGTTTTGGAGGGTTTTTTTTTTTTTTCAACAAGATCCATCTTTTCTAATAAATGCTACTACATTTCTTAAATGACTGCAAGCATTCACATTCAGGAAGAACTCCAGGAACTAAATAATATTGGAAATACATTTTTGTGAACTTTAACTTTCATTTCACTATATTCACTTAGTTTGCTGAGACTGCAGGAGTAGGGTGGCAAAGTTTGCTGTGGACATTCTGCAGGGAAAAGCAGTGAACATTAATTGCTTCCTTGACCTTTAACTGAGTGTGTCCTCTCCGGGTCTCCTTGCCTACTGCTTGTAAATGTAGCACTGCTTTGACAAGTCACCTAACATACCGGGGATTAATAGATGTTACAGTACACTATATCCCAGGAGCATCTCCTAAAGTTCCAGTCTTTGATATAAAAAACTTGCCAGTAAATATTTACTGGAACAATCTGACATCTGTGACATGGGACGGTCCCCTAAAGGACAGCTGGCTAGATTGCTGCTGTTGCTGCTAACAAGTGGATGACAACAATGATCTGACTCTGTCTATCTGAATAAAGCTAGCCATTTCTTTTTGATAATGTCTACATATTGGTCTTCATAAGGAAAGGAAAATATAATTGCATACTGTTTTATAAGTGAAATACAATTTTAGCCGGGTGTCGGTGGCTCATACCTGTAAATCGAGCTACTCAGGAGGATCTGGGGATCATGGTTCAAAGCCAGCCCAGTCAGGAAAAAAATTCTGTCAGACTCTGATCTCCAATTAATCACAAAAAGCAGGAAGTGGTGCTGTGGTAGAATAGTTGCCTTGAGCACAAAAAGTTCAGGGACAGCACCTATGCTAAAAGTTCAGGCCCCAGTAAACAATGATAATGATGATATGCTAATGATAATAATAATAAACTTTAAAATATACATGAGGCTGTTGTAAATGAAAACTATATATACTTCTAAGATAAAGATTTTTCAAAGTGATTTTAGGAAACAACCTATCCACTATTAGTTACTATATACTCTATCTACACTCTACATATATATGATAAAAGAACATAACTCTCTCCACTGGATATAGTAATTTAAATCTAATTAGATACCTAGAATGATCTGGTATCATACAGAAAGCATTAACTGGTTGAATAAAGTTAATTGATGTTGTATAATAGTACTCTTGTGTTTAAATAATATATGTATGATACAGGCATTCCATAAGAGAGTCGCCATAATTAATAGCATGAAATCAAAATCTATTAAATGTAGCTGCTTAAAACAACTTGGCTCAGGGATGAGGCAAGAGGGCAGAATAGAAGCATCCTCTCTGACGCCATAACAAGTCAAGGTAACAAGGAAAGAGGAAGGGCATCTGAAGAGAAAAAGGAAGGGCATCAGGCACCACAAAACAAGTGTCAGGACATCCGCACACTGTGGAGGAACAGAAAGGCAATGGAGAGAAGCAGAACCCTCAGATCACACAACCACAGATGGCCCTGGCAAGAGAGCAATAGACCAGCGATTTTAAAAGTAGGGTTAAGTCCACACTTCCTGCAAGCCTGAAACCCAGAGTATGGATTAATATGAGTGTCTGTTCATGGTGGGCTCAATTCAGAGAAGGAAGACACGTTGTCCCTCCCCTTCTCTCAGTAAGCATCAGTGGGACGCCATCTTGAGAGGGGAGTCTATTGTTTGAGATTGAGCTACTCTGGGGACTTGTGGGTCACAGTCTTGGGATGCCTGTGTTTTCAATGTCCGTGCTAGACCGTCCTGGGTGTGGGTGAGTTCTCAGGTAGACCTGTGAGCCATTAAAGCTGTAGGGGGCTGGGACAGTTAAGGATATTCTGATTAGTGGTATCACATTCCCTGGCAAGGAGCAAGTCTCAAGAGCCTGAGGATGGCAGCAGAAACAAAGCACAGAATCCGTGGCTGGCAGATTGCTCAGCTTCTAGGGGCCACCTCCCAGTTATTTGTGTTTGCTGCTAGGCAGACCTGAGAGTAGAGCTTGAGCCCAGTAGAGCCCTACAAATCACATGACTTCCTCCCAAACTTCTACAGAGTAGGGAACTGTTGTCATTATTTAACTAAATCAAAAGACATATTGAACAGCACAGGCTAGCAATATAATACCATCCATGTCAAGGCTGATGACAAAAATCTCATCATGGGAATATAACAGAAAGAGCGGTAATATTACATCTCATTATTGTAGTAGAGTGGAGGGATCTATGTTCCAGACACAATTTATAAAGAACATGTTCCCCACAGTGCATGACTATCTGTTTATTGATATGGAATTGAATGTTGAAATGATTAATGCACTAACAGATAGCACTTGGCCTTTTTTTTTTTTTGGTCTGTTGCAGGGTTTGAACTCAGGGCCTGGGAGCTGTTCCTCAGCTTCTTTGTGTTCAAGGTTTGCACTATACCACTTATGACACTGCGCTACTTCCGGTTTTTTGAATGGTTAATTAGAGATAAGAGTCTCATTGGGACTTTTCTACCCTGGTTGGCTTCAAACCATGATCCTCAGATCTCAGCCTCCTGAGTAACTAGGATTATAAGCGTCAGCCACCAGCACCCAGTTAGTACTGGGCTTTAAGATCTACAGAGGAATTGCTTCCAAAATCAAGAAGCATTATCACACATATTATCTAATATATATTTCTGAAGAATTTTTCTGCATCTGTTCTCTCCTTTTCTTGTGGCATTCAGGCCACAAGACAGACAAATAAAACTGAACAAAATGTCCCTGGCTCCCTGAAGAAAAAGCAGAAAACTCCTGGTGTCTATACCTTTAAACAAAAGCTGCCTACATTTTAGAATACTGTTTTATCCAGTTAATATTGTAAGGTAAATCCTGAAAGATCATAATGAAACCATCACTGAGACAAAGAATTACAATGATGTTACTATCTTGGACTTATATATATGTATTCTGATGCATTTTCATATAAGAAAAAGTCTTACAATCATTGCTATTAATCTTTGTGAATACGGGGTTAAAAATCCACCAGGTACTCTGCAAAAAGAGAATGAAGTAAAAATTAGCAATATTCTCTCACAATGATAATTTTCTTGAGGAGAATTCAACAGTGAGTTGACTATAGGGATGGATGGCAGCAAGCCTTCACAAATAGAAGTTCTGTCTGTATTTTTCTCTTTTATCACTTTAAGGTCAGAAAGAACAATAGTAAATGAAAGGGTCAAAGCACAGAAATACACCCCCCCAAAAAAAAGAAGGAAGAGAACATTAATTCTTTAATAGCTATGACAGCTGAATTCAAGCTTCCATTTGAGCACTGTCAAGAAAACTTGTCAAAGTTAAGAATCACTCTACTAAGTGAAAGAGTCTGTCATTCAACTGGATCTTTTCTTCAAAGTCAAATGTCATGTGCTTTTCAGAAATATGTACAGATTTTTTTTAAAAAACCAAAAAAACAGATGTTAAAGACATTTTTGGACTAGTAAATGGTCACAGGCTAACACTTGTGAACAACCCAGCAATGTCAAGATCTCAAACTTTGTGTTGAAATGAATTCCTGAGAAGATTTCAGAAATGTACAGAGTCTATAACTAATCAAGTAGACCAAACAATCTTATAGTTTATGTTTTTCCAATGAAAGAAAATTAATCTTTTCCTGAGACTGCTCAGAATGTTGGTAGAAAATAAAAAGGAATCTAAATTAATTGTACTCAAAGTTTAGTACTTGGATCTAACAGTACAAATGTCAATGAATTTTGGTGAGTGTTGCACAAGCAGCATGGATTCCCTAACTCATGAGAAGTATCCTAAAGGAAATACTTGCACTAGGGGGCAGGAAGAAGCCAAGGTGCATCTGGTTTCACTGTAGAACATCACTCTGAGGATGCTGGTAGAATCAGACATATATTGAATAATGATTTTTCTTCTGTAAGGTGAAGAAGAGCTGATAGAGATTGTTGGGGCAGGGACAGACATGATTAGATGTGATACATAAGTTTTGTTGTTGCTGTTTTGGTTTGGGGGGGATTGTTTTGCTTTGTTTTTTGTCAGTTGTGTTTGAACTCTGGGTCTGGGCACTATCCCTGCACTTTTGAACTCAAGGCTAGCCCTCTACCACTTGAGCCATAGCTCCACTTCTGTTTTCTGGTGGTTAATTGGAGATAAGAGTCTCACAGACTTTCCTGCCCTGGCTGGCTTTGAACCGTGATCCTCAGATCTCAGCCTCCTGAGTAGCTAGGATGACAGGCGTGAGCCACCAGTGCCCATCTTAGATGTGATACTTAAGAAGTACATTTGGCATCAGGAGCCAAAGGACTAAGATTCAGAAGCTAGTTCAAAAGATGCTACACAAATCTAGAGAAAGGGCAACAATAAAGGCAGTAGCCCAGAACAGAGGAGCCATGGATGCAGTTGTGTGCTTTGGGAGCAGGGGCAGGCCTCCCCTTGGGACAGTAAATGGCATTCAAATTCAAGCCTGAGTTCTGAAGATACGTGAGGCAGATTGGCAGTTATTTTTAATATAAAACATGAAAACTCAGTATACACTTACTCAGGTCAGTTATTAATTTTTTAATATGTTGATGAATGATGCTCACATTATGTGCTATTAATATATTGCTTTGGATATAGTCTGATAAGTTGCTTAACCTGAGTTAGAATTACTTAAACATCCTTATTATAATGTTAAGGCAATATTATTCATGAAAGTCAGAGTTCCTATTTACCCAACTCTGTAAAGACTGATAGGAACACTTTTGAGAGACATCCATGAGAGCATTGCATTAGGTCCTACAGGGAGCCAACTGAGTGTGACCAGAAATACCACAGCATCACCAATGAGCAGTAATAGACATTAATTATATCTAATGCATTCATTCACTCATTTATTGAGCACCCGGGCACTGTGACGATGAAGACAGAGCAATGCAGAATCGATCATTTGAAAATAGAAAGTCCTACATCTCAGAGAGTTCAGCAAAGAATTACCTGAGCCTTTGTGATTATGAGCTTGCCAGCCAAATAAGGTAAGGAAGACATGTCAAATATAGGAATGATATGCACAAGAGCCTGCTGGAAGACTCTTGAGAATTATAATAGAGAATAAGTGGGGGTAGCCGCACTACATAAAATACTTCAAGCCATAGTAAGTCTCGATGAAACAATGAGGCACTGAAAATTCAAACAAAAGACAAGTGTGGTAAGATCTGAGTTTGAAGAAAAAAAAAACATGCAAACTGCAGTCTGGGAAAGATCTAGAAAGTATAAAGAACATTTGGAGAAGACAGACAATTAAAGGCAATACAGCACACAAGAGAAGAAACACTGAAGACCAAGAGTCAAAGAAACTGGTGCTGAAAATAGAATGAGGAGTATGGAAATCTGTTAGGGAAGTAAAACAGGATGTAATGAGTAGAGATGTAAAGGAAAAGGAGGCAATGGAAATGAGTCTGGGTTTCTGAATAGCCAGGGATATGCTAGATGGAGGGGCAAATTTGAGGAGGAGAGCATTCGTGATTGTTGCTTATCTGTGGCTTGACACGTGGGCCATGAGCTGTACTGCTGATTGCAATCTTTCTGCAAGAACAGCTGTGCAACAGTACCTTCAGTTCCAGGACTGCCAACGAAAGCCACCACACCACACCCTGGCCACTCCCCTGTGGTCAGCTGGTGCTCAGGCACTTCCAATTAGCCTGAGCCTTGACTGTACCCATGTTGCAGCTGGAGGCCCCTTTTGGCCCACCTATCCATCTCCCTCACCTCCCCCCTGTGGAAGACCTATGCTGTGATCGCAACGTCCACACAGACATTCACACAAAATCAATTCTTTCCATGTCCAATGCCATTCTGGCATTATTTCTAGAAGGACCTAAACTGACACAAGGTGGCACGTGCCATGTCAGTCAGCCAGAGCCACAGACTGGAGCTGTTGTGCACAGGAATACTGAACTGTGTGTTGGGGGGGGGGGGAGGAGCAGAGGCAGGGGGGAGTCTGCACCTTGGAGTTATAATTCTACAACACTTTGCTACTTGTGCTAATAGCTGGAGAGGTGCTCTTGGCAATGGGCAAGAAACACCACTTCTTTAGAATATGTGGATGAGGATTTAGACAACTTAGATTATCATGTAGCACTAGAAATATAGAGGAATTCTTAGCACTCACCCTAGTCCTAATTTGAATCTGTATATAAATGGCATCTTGTAATTCTCAGATCTTCACGACAGTGTTGAAATATGAGAACTGAGCTCTGAGTTCACTCCATCCTTTCCAAGTGCAAGATACTAAGTATAAAAGAGTTAAGACAGATCATATCAACATCCTTCAGTACTAGAGAGGACTGAGTGTTCCTCCACTTGCCGGAACACTTGCCAAGAAAAAGCCACCTGCAATGACACACACTTAATCCCTTTCGTACCAAGGTTTATTTGCCTAATAGATGGTGATGGAGTATGTTTGTTTATGTTGCAAAATATTTCAATCCTAGTTTTGTCTCAATCTTACCTTGAACTTTAAATTCCTTTGTCATTTGTCAAATTGTCAACCACAGTTGAAATCAAGAATTGTTACTAATGGTAATGATAATGACATAATTTTATTCAAACACCACCTAGAACCTTGTCTTCATTCAAATGATCTAAATGGCTGGATTCTCTATATGATTACAACTTAAATGTTTATGTTTGCAAGAATCACAACAGTAGAACTGTTGCTATTGAAGCCAACTCCGGGCATGCGCCCAACTCTATCTGCCAGAAGCAATGGTTACCTAGGTAGAAGCTACCTGGTAATGCCAAAATAGAAAAAAAAAAATAGGACTATAATTCTTAGAAAACATCTACAGTGTGCCCAGCTCAGAAGGAAGAGAAAGACAAACCAAGATAATTTTAATTTTATTAAAACTGCTCTACTAACACATAGCAATTCTCCTAATCTGTCTCAGAAATATGAACACTTGTATCTCAGTTAAGAAATTTCATATCTTATTTCAGACAAAGTCATATTTCATGTGTAAGATGGGTTGATCAAAAATACTAATGCTGAGCCGGGTGCCGGTGTCTCAAGCCTGTAATCTTAGCTACTCAGGAGGCTGAGATCTAAGAATCGAAGTTTAAAGCCAGCTGGTCAGGAAAGTCTGTGAGATTCTTATCTCCAATAAACCAGCAGAAAACCGGAAGTGGTGCAGTGGCTCAAGTGGTAAAGAGCTAACCTTGAGCTGAAGAGCTGAGGAACAGCACCCAGGCCCAGAGTTCAAGCCCCACAACCAAGAACAAAAACAACAAAAAATACTAATGCTGGCAGTAGAATTCAAATAAATGCTTTTTATATCTAGAGGTCTAATTACGTTATATATTTCCCTCTAATTAGTAGTCAGAGGAGATGAAATGTAAGCATGTTAGAGATCTTTTTATAGACCAAATTCATCATTCATCCAATAATTAGTAAAATGTTTAGCTTTTACATATAACTCTTACAAGTTTCTTATCTGAAATAACTTAAAAATCACAATAATATGCTTAGTGTACAGCATTTTTTAAAAGCTATTCGATTTTAACAAATCAAAGAAAAACTCTTAGTACACCTATATATTTAATTTATTGTCTGCCAAAATTTCTCTAACAGAAGTGTACAGTAGAATATTTTAGTAGATTGGAGCTGTTTTCATGTGTGGAAACACAAGGCATACTATGCAATTCATAAAAATCCTATCTCCTCTCAAGACTTCAAAGGAGGGCTGGGAAGGTGGCTCAGTGGTAGAGTGCTTGCCTTGCATGCCTAAGGCCCTGGGTTCAATTCCTCAGCACCACATAAGCAAAAAGAGAAAAGCCGGAAGTGCTGTTATGACTCAAGTGGTAGAGCGCTAGACTTGAGCTGAAGAGCTGAGGGACAGCGCCCAGGCCCAGAGTTCAGGCCCCACAACCGGACCCAAAAAAAAAAAAAAAAGACTTCAAAGGACACTGCTAGTCTATTGTTTGCCTTCCTAGATTATAAGAAGAAACAGTTATTTACCTCCTTGAACTTCTGGGTCCATCAGTGATGACTTCACAGATGTCTCGATGTAGGTGACTTCATTATCATCTCTCAAATGCTACACAAATAATTCATTAAAATATCAAATGGTAATGTTTATTCAATAATACATATGATGTATTTTTATTTTTTATTATTGACTTAATTTATTTTACTTCTTCCTAACACCATTCATTATGAATGCCCAACAGCACAATTTTGTAGAGATCATAAAGAATTCTTCAAGCTGTATTTACTTAGAATGTATACTTATAACTATACAAGAGAATCCAACTCCAAACATAGCTGAGAAAAATATATTAACAGCATCATGTTAGCAAAGTCTGATTTTTAAAAGATCATACAAACACAACCTAGTGCAAATCAAAATTAGAGCAAAGATTTCAGTCAGAAACCCTAAAAGCTACTGGAGAAAGAGAAACCCTCATCAGCAGAACCTCAGTGGTCATAAAGACAGGCATCATCTTCCTGTGGCCAGTTAGACAGCAAGTTTACAATCTAATCACGAGGAGTGAAGGTTTGCCCTGGGTAGGGAAAACACTGGTGCTAATGTACCATAAAGCAGCCCAGCAATGGATACCAAGTCCTGATCAACGCATCATTAACACATCTATACCCTCAAACAGCCCAACCCCATGGCTTTGGAATAGTTTCTACCTTAAGGAGTCCACACCATTCTAGCAAACACTGGAAACTGAACAAATTAAAAAGCTTTATGACTCTCCAAAACATCAGGGAAGAGAATTAGCTTAAGTGAGCTCTAACTCAACCTTTAAAAAAAAAACAACTTGATGTGTTTACGGCTCAATGTGCTGTCATAAAAAAAAAAAAAACTACTAATTAAATCTCAAGCTCCTTGCTTCCACAGATCCTGAAACACTTCACGGTCACCACCTTTTTCCTTATATCATTCCTTGGTAAGGTCAAAGCCAAATTATTTCCCTGACAGTTTACAGACAAGGTCACACCGTTTAAGCAACAGCAAGACACACATCTTGTTTGCAATTTAATATGTTCCATTAAAGAAGGTAGTTTTTATACCTGTTTGCCTGAAGGTGGGCGTCTATTCCACATTAAGCCTGGATGTACCTAAATGAGTCAGCTGAGGTTAGGGAAGGCTAAACAACAGCATCCACAGCTCTTGTTTTGTTGCTGAGACCCGTGGTAGTGCCTGAAAGTCTCAGGCCAGCAAGTGCTTTATTACTGTACAAGCTGGCAGCAAGGTTGGGCTTGGGGATTAGGCTCCTGACAGCTGCAGCTTCAGGCTGGAATGCAGGGATGGGCTGCTCCCTGGCTTGTCTAGCTACAGGGAAAGAGCTGGAGGTGGATGGATGCCAGCCACTCCCTCGAGGTAGTGAAGCCTGTTGGGAGGAAGCAAACTAATTCTTCAACCTCCTAGCCAAGGGTTATTCTAAGACTCCGTGGCTATAATGTCATAAGAAATGGAGACCACCACTTTTTATGTCCCCTATCTGGGTGTGAATACTACGTGTGGAACCTGACAACTATACCAGCACGTGTGCAGCCCTGCTCTGCACGGAGGAATGAAGTAACTAGGAATCCTTGCTCTCTCCACTGAATAGACAAGCTGGGGCTGCTGTTCCTCGGATTCCTGCAGGTGGCCATGTAGACCTGTGTCTCATGGCCTGGGAAACACCCTCACCAGCCACTGAAAACATCTACCAGAGGTCACAAAACCCCACAATATGCACCCTGACGATGAGTACAACTTCTAAGAAACACTTCTGTGGTGAGTGCACGAGGCTCACTCAGGAGGCTGAGATCTGAAGATCATGGTTGCAAAGTGTGAGACCTTTCAAAAAGCAGAAAGTGGAGCTGTGGCCCAAATGGTCATGTTCTAAGCCTTGAGGGGAAAAAAAAATCTCAGGAACAGCACCCAGGCCACGAGTTCAAGCTCCAGGACCCACATCAAAAACACAAATTTACATACCATGATGTTCACAAAACTGAAGTGAGGTTACTAACGCACTGGATAGGACTAAAGATCAGGAAATCTAGTGTTAGTTGATCTTGTCAATAATCATTTAGATTTTAGGCCATTTACTTTGTCCCTTGACTTTATTTTAACAGGAATAATATAAAAGACACATGATATATTGGGGGGGGGGGAGGAATAGGTAGGAAACATTTCAGAAAAGCCAAATTCTAAATAATGTGAACTACAATATATAGGCATTAATCTGGGGCCAGATACTCTGTGTTTTACTTTTGTTGTTGTTGGTCCTCGGTCCTGAACTCTGGGCCTGGGCACTTCCCTCAGCTCTTCAGCTCAAGGCCAGCACTCTACCACTTGAGCCACAGTGCCACTTCCAGCTTTGTCTGCTTATGTGGTGCTGAGGAATGGAAGCCAGGGCCTTGTGTATGCAAGGCAAGCACTCTACCACTGAGACACCTTCCTATTACTTTTTTAAAAGAAAAAAATAATTACTTGACAAATAAAAGTCACCTATCTTTTGCAAGGAGCTATTTAAATACCTCATAAACCCCAATGCTGTCATGAACATGAGGACAATACACATTCCAATTACTCTGAACTGTTTAGACTAATACCTGCAGCTAGCCTCTGCTTCTGTTAGAACTTGAAACACACATATTCACACACACACACACACACACACACACACACACTCCTGTTAGACAGCTGTGAGAAAGCTGTCAGACGGCCAAGAATTGCACAGACAGTTGTCTGCTGAAGGGAGAGCCTTCCGGGAGCCAGGGACGCTGACATACAAGTATCACCAGTGCAGCTCCACCAACCTTGCATAAGTAGGGTTTGGGGGCTGGCCAGGCAGGCGGGCGTCGAGAAGTCAGAAGGAGCTCACAAGGCAGCAAAAGGCAGGTTAAAGCTTGAAAGAGACACACACTTCAGGCTTTTGATTGGTACTGATGATGAGTAACCCAAGTAGCACCCCTCTGCCAGCTCTTGTATAGCTCTCTGAGCCCAGATCCATCTGTATAGGAAGCCAGCCTCTGACTAGTGGTAGCTTAAAAGCTGATCTAGGGTTCAGGGGTCCCCGCACAGCCACTGCTCACAGGTGGTGTGACCCCCCCCCATTCAGCTTGTCTGACGACTGGTTAACCCCATGGCAAATATAGTCTCCAAATACGCCCCGGGAGCCAGGTTCTCTTGGAAGAAGAGCCCCGAGGGGCCATGGCCAGGGTAGGTAGTACTTCCGGTTGCTGGAAGTGCCACCTGCAGAATAACCGAGGGCCTTTCCTCTCGGGAGTCAGAGGAAAGCCGTCAGGAGTCCGTGCTGATCCATCCGCTCGCTCGCGCCTCTCCTTTCTCGGGTGTGGCCGGGGACGGAGGACAGGAGCCTGGGAAGGAGGCCTGGGAGCCAGGGACACACGGGACGGGACGGGGAGGCCATCTGTGGTCTGCACACTCGTTTATTCAGTCTTCAGTTCATTAGGAATGCCTGGCTTGCCGGCTAGGCTCTCCTCTTCCCTCCCCTTCTCCGGGTTCGCGGCTTCCCTGCCTTCCTCCCGAACACCGGGGTGGCAGTCACCAGGCCGGCCTGCGGCCTCGGATCCTCGTCGCCGCTGGAGCTGCCCGAGCTGCTGGCGCTCCGGGCGCGGGCGCTGGGGCCCGGGTCCCTCGGCAGGGCCGCCCTGGCCGCTCTGCCCGGCGGGGTGCTGGCCACGGGCGCCCCCGGAGCTTCCCCCAGAAACCCACCGGGCCCGTCCCCCGGCCGCCTCCCTCTCTTGGGGCGCGCGGGCCCTGCCGGGGTCTGGCCTGGGCCTCTCTTGCGGGCCGGCCCCGGGGCCTCGCTGGGTCCAGGCTCCCACTCTGGCTCCCACTCCAGCTCCGGCTCCAGCTCCAGCGCGGCGGCCGCGGCCTCCGCCTCCCCAGCCGCCTCCTCCCGCTCCTTCCTCAGCATGCAGGTCACCGCTCGGTGGAGCCGCCGGCTTCTGACCAGGGTGGCGTCTTGTTTTTCCTGTTGCGCTAATCTAAAGAAAGAGTCGATCCGGAGCTGCGTCTGAAAGTGAAACGGGCATCCTTCAGAACCCTCACGTCTGGGAACACCAACTCATGATCTCCCCCAAACCAGTTCCCGCCCAGTCAGTTCCCAACAACACCTACAGCAGTACCTGCGCACTGAACTCTAACCAGTTCTTAAGAATGGCTTAAGAAAGGATATCGTAGTCCAATCTTAATAGTGACATTTTAAAAAAGAACAAAAAACCTATTTTCTCCTTTTTTTCTTCTTTCCTTTTTTTCGTGTGTGTGTGTGTGTGCGTGCGTGTGTGTGTGTGTGTGTTAGTACCAGAGCTTGAATTCAGGGCCTTCTCTCATTTTTTTTGCCCAAAGCTAGTGTTCTACCACCATTTGAATCATACCTTCCACCACCATTTGAACCATACCTTCCACTCCCAGCTTTCTGCTGGCTAATTGGACAAGGGTCTCATGGACTTTTCCGTCTGGACTAGCTTCAAACTGAGATCCTCAGAACTTAGCCTCCTGATTAGAGGGATTACAGGCATGAGCCACCAGTGTCCACCTCACTTTCTCTTCTTCTGCTTCCCCTTGTTCTTTATCAAGGGATACACTCACCTCTGAGCCCCACACTACCCTTTGTTCTTTATCTAAAATCTCATTTAAAGACGTGTGCTAAATGCCCTAAAATGAAAGCGCTTACTGGCCCTTCGCAAATGCTTTCCTCCCCCTGGCCCTGGGGAGAGAGCCACCCTCATCACCTGTTGTGCATTCAGCTGCTTTAATACCGGAAACAGGGATTCGTCTGTTTTCGTCCTGTTCCAGCCAAAATACCGCTGACAAAACATGCGGGCAGTTAAGTCTTATAAAGTTTTTAAAGAGATGTAAATAAGTGATACATAAAAAAGCCCAAAGAATCACTTTTGATTACATTCCCCTTATCCCCAAAGATTTTTATATCTGTAAAGATTAAAATAACAGCTATAACAACACAAATTACTCACATATGATTATATTGTCATATGCTCTTAGCCTCCTAAAACAGAAGATTCTGTTCAAGAATACCAAGGAAACCTGACTGTGATAAAGGTTATTCCTATGGCATATTTCAGATATCCTATGTATTAAAGAGAAGTGTAACTTTTTAAACATCTACTCAAATGATAATTTAAAGGCAAAGAATGGAAAACCAGTAAGTTATCATAAGAACAAAACATCTCTTCTGTTCTTTCAGAATAAGTAACACTAATGTAAATGGGTCTATCTAAGAATGTGACACTACTCATTTCAAATGGAGATCCTCTTTAACACTAAGGAGCATGAAAAAGGAACTACAAAGAGATCTCAGAAAAACAGGACACTGGTGAAAAATTCATCTAAGTTCTACTCTATGAGCATTAAACCAAACACAGACAGGGCTCCAGAAACAAAGGATATTCTCGGATTCTCTCAAGGTCGGGTTTCCCCCACAGGAACGCAGCCTTGGAGTCGTCCACCACAGGCCTCAGGTAAGCTTCGGCGACTGCTGGGTTAGGAAAGCCAGGTGTGAGCTGCAACTTTCGTAACTTTTTTTTCACTTTGGTGTCATGAGGATTGGGTCTTATCTTCTTATTTTTTTGAGCCTCATGCCACCATTCTCTAGGAAGTAAAGGAAACAGTTACTTACAAAACACTGAGACATCACATGCACTGGAGATGACGAGGTACAAACAAAATGTTGAGAAATGTACATTTAAGTCCTAACTCCAACCCAAATTCTGTGATGGACAGACACTGATATTGCTAGTACTATCAGCCAGAGGTGACAGATGGAAAGCATTCACTGATGCCAGCTCTGTGCTTGGCCCTGTGTTGAACACTTTACATGTCCAATAATCACACAGGCAGAGTCCCACCATAAAGAAATACCTTGCTCAAGATTTCCTGGCTGAATTGATACAGGTAGTCAATAATCTTCTCCAGAGCCTGATTCATAACTACAGTACCACAATGTCACAAGTTCCCTGGGTTTCTTTCTCAGCAGCAAATGGAGGTGACATAGCTACACTACTCTCCTATAATCAAATACAATGAGGGATCTAAGAATATGTAGTAAAATGTAAAAATGTTTTAATGAAAAATATAACTCAACGTAGAGTATGATGCCAACTGTATAGAGGAGAGTATATGAATGAAAAATGAGAAAAAGAAGACATATTTTAAATAATAAAAATAGTAAAATCTATTATTTCCTATGTGCTAGGAAACATTCTAAGCAAGATTACCAGCTGCTCTTTTTTTATATTTTATCTTTTTTTTTTTTTAGCCAATCTAACACTAATCAAATATGGCAAGCTAAAGAAAGCTATGCCTTTGTGGTCATTCCTCCCATCAAGAAGTGGGGTCAGTAAAACTAATTGTGTTAACTGAGGTAAGCCACACTCAGAGAGAGAAATGGCTCATGCTTTCTCTCATTTGTGGAAACTAGACCTAAACTATCACTGGACATGATAACCAGGCATGCACCCACAGTCAAGCTAAGGGAAGATACCAATCCGGGAAGAACCCAGAGGGTAACTCTCCTGAGCATGTAAAATACTGTCTATCAAAATGAACTCCAGGAATGGAAACGCGTTATTTATGTTGTTGGTGATGGTGGTGATGTTTGTGTTTGTGTATGTGTTTTCCTTTTCTGATTCTTTGGGGGGGGGAGCCGGCTCAAAGGGAAGAGGGGCTCAAAAAGGGAAGGAGAAAGGGTGAACAAATATAATTATGGTATGGTATTCAGTATATGTTACATGGAAAACAAACTGTGTAACTTGTAAGCAGGAATGGGAGAGGAAAACTGGGAGAATACAAAGGAAGGGGTAACACTGTACAAAAAGAAATGCGCTCATTAAGCCGGGTGCCAGGGGCTCACGCCTGCAATCCTAGCTACTCAAGAGGCTGAGACCTGAAGATCGTGGTTCAAAGCCAGCTCAGGCAGGAAAGTTCATGAGACTCTTATCTCTTAATAAGCCACCAGAAAACTGGAAGTGGTGCTGTGTCAAGTGGTAGAGGCTTGTCTTGAGCTAACTAGCTCAGATACAGTGCCCAGGCACAGAGTTCAAGACCCTCGGTTGACAGGAAAAAAAAAAAGAAAAAAAGAAATGTGCTTGTTACCTGACTTATGAAATGGTGACCCTTCTGTACAATGGCTTAATTATATATAATAAAAAAAGGAGTGTGGTCAGGCAGGTTCAGTACCGACCAGAGTCCTGGAGACCTCCACATCCTGCCTGTGGGAGCACTTGCTCCTGAAAGCCTTTCCCATGCTCTGTGAAAGGCTGAGCCCATCAGCAGGTTTGGCAGGACCAGGTGGCCCCGGCACACTGCCGTCCTGTCTAGTCTCCCACCTGGCCCAGGGCCCTGTTCTGCAGCCCATGCATCAGCCACATGAAGCAGAGCCCTAGACCTGGCTGAACCTCTGATAGACTTGTGAGCAACATCAATGACTGCTGCTACTTGGAAACACTGAGTCTAAGGTAGTTTGTAAGGAACATAGCAACAACAACAATGACGAAAAGGCACACCACTAGGAAAATGAAAGCTGAAAGTGTGAGGATAATCCTCACCAGTCCATCCATGATGCAACCTAAGCAGCCTCTGCATCTGGGCTGGCTGTTTCATGTGCATCTAGAAGAGCTAATTCACAGTGGTTGTCTCAGCCTGGGCTTCCTCACTGATGAGGGAGTGCCATCTAGTGTTGAAAAGACTGATTGCAAACGAGAATCATCTTTTCTTGTTGCTTTTACAACTGTTTCCAAGAGAGTGAACCGGGGTTACACCTTTAATTCTCTCCCACTTTACTTGTGATTTTCACCTTGAAATAGTAATCATGACTGCCAGTCTGGAGAGCTGGTACAACACAATTGTGGACTGATCTAAAAGACTATTTCTCCTGAAAGTAAGGGGACCAGGAGCTCAACATGCAGGTGAAACACAGTCTGCAGGTACTTATGAACATATAAATAAAGAAACAGAGGGGAGACTCACGAGAACTTTAGGAGTGGGTCCAGGCCACGCCCTGGGAATTCATTGAGAATCTCCATGGCTGTCACACAGCCCACAGTGGGAATTCCTTCAGTGTAATCACTGCCAAGCAAATAGGCCAAATTTATTAGCTTGTTCCGGTCCAACCCTACAAGAATGACAATGATTAATTTTAGAAAGATACATTATTTAACATTTAGAAATGATCCATTACATAAAAGTAGCTTTTTTTTAATAGCACTGACAAGTTTTTAAGTTTTAATTAATTTTATTCACTTTCTACACTGACCTCCAAACTCACTTTTCTGGCCTGGCTCTCTGTGATCCACAGTCACAACTATCAATGCACCAAGTCCACATCCAAGACACAAAGTCTGACTTTCTCCTCCGGATCCCTAACTTACTGATGGCAAGTCCACTTAGGGTGCCCAGGATGTGACAGAGGCCTGGACTCCTCTCCTCACGTCCCATACCCAGTCTGTCCACACTCCTGTCTGTAAAACACCAGACTTCTCTCCATTCTGGTCTTTCCCTACTGTACGATGTCATCCCTGCTGTCTACCCTATTCCGTTCACTCTGGCATCCTTGCTTCCCTCGGACTATCTGAGCATGTTTCTGACTCAGAAATGCATTTGTTAGTTCCTCTGAGCTGCTCCTTGCTACAATATCAACTTACAGCATCAGGCCCCCCAAAGACCACCTGCAAACAAAATCTTTTCCAACAACTCTCAGAGACAGCACCGTGCACTGCTGTTACAGTTCATCTCTTTCCTGTTCTGTTTTCACCGTGGCACTCACTACCAATTGTCAAATTACTACACACACACACACACACACACACGCACACACACGCACACACACACACATACAAACAGTATATAGGTCTCATCTGTTTCTCCTACTAGACCATTTCATTCTCTGCCGCCTTCCTGCTATCTGGAACAAGTCTTGATAAGTGTCTCTCACTGTGTATTGGGTGGTTTATTAGAGAACTCAGGAGCAGGTCCAGTTCCCCAGCCCTCCTCCTTCCAATTTCTGGTTCATTCTGGAGATCTTAGGAAAACAGTCAACTAATGAATCAGAAGAGTAAGCTGCAGGAAAAGAACTAACATACTAAAATATTAACTTCTTTAGTCTAACATCAAAAGTTCTATTCCTCTACACAAGCAAGAGATAATGTTCATGAAAATTCACATGAACTACTATTCCTATTAATGTATCAAATTAGCTCTTTGGAAAGACAAACGTTCACAGAGCAAATTTCAGAGCCCTAACCACACCTTGAAGTCTTACCTAATTGGTTGTGGAAGTCCACATACTGGTAGTATTCTACAAACTTGTTTTTATTGAAGAAGTTCCTGTAGACATGCCGGGCTCCAAACAGCCAGATGTCACTGTCATCGGTGATGGTCCCAGCGGTCTGATCTGTGAGGTCCAGAATGGCGCACTGGGCCTCGGCCTCCATGGGAGCCTGGATGTAGGGGACTCCGAACAGACGCAGAAGTTCCTGTGGGAAAGATGGCAACAAGACACACTTCAGACTTGGGCCACATGGGGAGCAGGCTCAAAGACCAGTCAGTGGTCTCCAAGGGGGATTGGGGATCAGGCCTGTAGAGGCCAGAGCTGCCCATACCTACCTGGCTTTCCAGAAACATCTGTCCTGTTACAGTGGCAGCGATCCGTTCTTGCTGCTGCTTTTGAGCATTCAGTGAATTCTGTTCTGTTAAAAGGTTGCTTTCCAGGGTTTCCAATTCGTCCTACAAAATAATTTTTCATTTGTAGATAATTATATTAACAATCCAAATAACATTCATTTGTTACAAAAGCTCACAATTAGCCTAGCTGAAATTACCAATAAGCCTTTTCTCTTTAGGAAGTATTCCATCCAGGTTTTTGAGGAAGACTCTTAATACCTTAACAAGCTCCCTCACTACATCACATGGAAGGCGGGCCTGGTAGCCTACATTAAAAAGGAGTCATTAGCCATAAGAAGATGCACTATAAACAGTAAATATTCTAAAGTCTTCCTTGCCAGTGTTAAAACACGATGGTACATTATTACCAAATTAATATCTTGCCATTCATTAGACCCGTCATCTGCATCGTTGTCAGCTTCACTGTGAGCCTGGACGTCCTGGTTCTCACTTTCAGAGTCGTCCTGCTCGCTGCCAACAGTGACTTCTTTCTCCTCAGTTCCTCTCCCTTCCTCTTCCCATTCAGAAGGAGGGCTAGAAGCTTCAGGCAATTCAGTTTGAAGTTCACCATCACTAATGACACTCTGTACTTCAATGAAACTTCCTGTACCGAAATAACAAGGTCACTTTATCTACAACAAACATTACTGTCATCTCAAAATCACCAAGAGCTTTCTGAAGCATCATGGAAAATGTGGCACCCAATTAGATTTGAATAGAACAGAAAACATACAATATATTACTATTAAACACATTTAATCACAATGCCTATAACTTCAAAACAAGCCTTTTCTAGTAGATAAACTGTCTTTAAAAGAACCAAATGCTCAGACTTGCATAGAGGATTCTTTATACAAACAGGCTCTAAGTTAACTTTAATATGTTTTAAAATTCCAAAAGGACCAGGTGCCAATGGCTTATGCCTGTAATCCTAGCTACTCAGAAAGCTGAGATCTGAGGATCGTGGTTTGAAGCAGCCCTTACAGGAAAGTCTGTGAGACTTTTCTCTCAAATAGATGACTCAGAAAAAGCCAGAAGTGGTGCTGTGGCTCAAGTGGTAGAGCACTAGCCTTGAGCAAAAAGAAGCTCAGGGATAGTGTCCAGGTTGAGTTCAAGCCTTAGAACTGCACAAAAATAAAAATATAAATAAACACATCTAATTAATAAAGTTCCAAAAGATTGGTTATTAAAGTATATAAACAATCATGAAGGCTGTGAAAACATGTTTTTAGACTAATTCACTATGAATACAGTAAAAAATAAAGTTGAGAGACGCCCAGCAATTACTCAGGAGAAATAGCTTTTCCTCTCCCTTTTCCTCTTCCTTAAAATAAAAAATAAAAAAACCTAGGTTCCCTTCATTCCTTTCAGAGTCCTGTGCAGGTGGATCTGAGGAGACAGTGGGGACAGAGGAGAGCCAGTGTGGTGAGAGACACACAAAGGTATAGTAGATAAGCAAATACATCCAAGATTCTGGGAGCAGTTTCCCAACCTTAGGAAAACTGAAAAGAAAGAGGAGGCTGCACTAACAACCCAGGAATGTCAGGTCAACTAATAGATTTTAAGATAAAGACAGACCTAGAATAAAAATTGATGTGTTACAGACATGTGTGTATATGTATGTCCTGGCTCTGAGGAATGAGGAGCCCACTTAGCATTAGTTCATGGTTTCTAAACACCAATGTGATGCTTCTCTTAAAAAGCCAGGGATCGTCCATGAAACTATGATCCAGGCCTAGCGCAATCAGCCGAAGATGCGCCTGGAACCTCCTGCTAGAGATGAGGCTCAAAATATATTGTCAACAGCCACAGGAGCCTGCTTAGAGGGGCGTCCTCTGGCCAAAGCTAGGACAATCCAAGTGACAAAGTAAACTTTGATAGTGTTTTGTTGTAGCTCGATGAGTAAAACAGGAATCCAGGAGTCGGTGCTGACAAACCATAACAGAAGGGAAAGATCTTCTTTATAGTGGATGCCAGCAAATAAATGCATTGGGAATGAAGGAGTTGGAAAACCACCATTGGGCAACCATCATAGCAACAACTTAGACATCACCAGAGGATGCTAACACATAAAGGTGCCACCAAACACCTTTCCATAAAATATGCACTGATTATAAAGCAGAAGTAGTAACTTTACAACATAAAAACTGGCAGACACTGGGACTGTGTGTGTGAAGTCTATCCTTATCAGTCAGTTATGGTCTGTACAGTCACTTGAATCAGCAACTAAGGAGTCACTGCTCCCAGATAGAAACAATGTGTATTTCATACATGCGGTCTTACATCCTGTCACTACTCCCCTCGGCAGGTTTATTTACAAGAGCCTGAGCTGAGAAGCACTAGGTGACCTGCCTAAGGTACTCTTATAAAGGGAGCAGGAAGGGGAGTACACCGCAGGGCTTGCTCCAGGATCTTCCCGTCCAGACCACTGCAGCTGCCTCTGGTTATCTCTGCAGGAGACCAAAAGGCAGAGCTTCTCCTTGTTTGGTCTCAGCGGTGACAGAGAGATAACTCAAATTTTATTCATTTCCTAGCTCTGCAAATGACCACAAAGGCCCCCCAAATACCAGTGATTTTATTGACTCAGAGTGATTCTGAAACTGTAATTAAATTTCAGTAAACAAGCAAATATAGAGTCTACAAGGATCGAGGCCCCAGCAGTATGCACGTGCACACACATACAGGTCGACATAATCTGACCAGCCAAATGCGTCTCTGCCAGAGACAACAAAGATAGTAGATAGTATGGAAAAAGTCCTGAGTGAAACCAGAATGTTTAGTCATCCACTTTTTAAGTTGGGAATTCTTTTAAAATAAAAAGTTTTAAAAAAAATCTAAAGAAAAACTCAGGCCAGGGGCTGGGAAGGTAGCTCAGTGGTAGAGTGCTTGCCTTGCATTCATGAATTCCTGAATTCGATTTCTTAATACCATATAAGCAGAAAAAGCTGGAAGTGGTGCTGTGGCTCAAGGGTAGAGCGCTAGCCTTGAGCTAAAGAGCTTAGGAACAGCGCCAAGGCCCCAGAGTTCAGGTCCCATGACCTACCAAAAAAAAAAAAAAAAAACTCAGGCCAGGCGCTGTGTAATCCTGGCTACTCAGGAGACTGAGATCTGAGGATCACCGTTCAAAGCCAGCCCGAGCAGCAAAGTCTATGAGATTCTTATCTCTAACAAACTACTCAGAAGAAGCCAGAAGTAGCATTATGGCTCAAGTGGTAAAGTGCCTTAAACACAAGGAGGCTTAGGGACAGCTCCCAGGCCCTGAGTTCAAGCCCCGGAACCAGCAAGAAAAAAAAAAAAAAAACAGCTTTCTAACCAGGATTTCCATGTCTTTAAAGACAACGAGGAAAAGCCAGCCCAGGTACAAAAGTCCATGAGACTCTTCTTTTTTTTTTTTTTTGGTCGGGTCGGTCGGGGGGCTTGAACTCTGGGCTTGGGCGCCATCCCTGCGCTCTTCAGCTCAAGGCGAGCACCTGAGCCACAGTGCCACTTCTTGTTTTCTAGTGGTTTATTGGAGATAAGAGTCTTACGGACTTTCCTGCTCAGGCTGGCTTTGAACCCATGATCCTCAGATCTCAGCCTCCTGAGTAGCTAGGATTATAGGTGTAAGCCACCGGCACCCAGCCCATGAGACTCTTATTTCCAATAAACCACCAGAAAACTGGAAGTGGTGCTGTGGCTCAAGTGGTAGAGGCTCACCTTGAGCTGAAGAGCTCAGGGACAGTGCCCAGGCCCTGAGTTCAAGCCCCACCATCGACGAAGGACAGGACAGGACAGGACAGGAAAGGACAGGAAAGGAAAGGAAGACAATGAGAACAGCACAGCAAAGCAGGAGAGGTTGTGGGTCCTGGTTGTGGGCCTAGGGAAGGTCATTTCACCTTTCTTCCTGCTTTTTTCATTGGCAAAACATGGAACTGGCTATGCTATTGGGTCTCCCAGTTCCCAGGGGCTTGAGTTGCTACCCTTCCACCTCGGCGAAGAGGCCCAGCACCTACCATCAGACTCGCTGTCCTCCGAGCCCATGTCCGCTGCTCCCGAGGACTCTGGAACTGAAGTTACCTCCAGGCCGCTCGGCTCCTCAATGATGGTCAGAGAACCTCCTTGTTCTTCAGCACTGGGTTGTCTGTCCTTTTCTAAGGCACCTCTTGCATCTGAAGGGGGGCTGACAGTGTCCCTCGCTTCCTGTAACGTGACAGTGCCATCGGCTTTAGGAGCAGGATTTTGTCCACCTTCCATTTCATCATCACTTGAGAGAAAAGAGGGGCTGTATTTACTCTCAGATGGGTCCAGGTCTTTCAGTCGCTCAAGCTCTTTGGTGTGCGGGTCTCTCCTTTCTTCAGAATTTGTGCTCGTTAGAAGTGGTGGCGAGGTGCTGAGTACATCACTGTGTGGAATCTCTGTGCATCCCACAGAGCATGGGCCTTTTGTGTCCTCAACCACCGACCCATGGCTGCTCTGAGAGGCCTCATTTGCCACATGAGGAGGCGATGTTTGTCCTTTTGGAATATGAGAATCATTATCTTGATGAGAAATAGTAGTCAGCACGGGCGCTGAGTCCCTCTGCTCCTGCTCATTGTTGCTGCCAGTTGCCTGCTTCTCCACGGCATTCATGCTGGCTGCCGGGCAGACAGTGGTAAGCAAAACTCCTTCTCCATCCTTCGCTCCAAGTCCAGCCCCACCGTCCTCACTGGGCCTGTTTTTGAGCAGTGCTCTCTCCCCTGGTCCTCCTGTCGGCACCTCTTCCCCAGCACACACCAGCACCTCGTCATCATCCTCATCAAGAACTCTCCGAATAGCAGAGAGAGTCCGAGGGGACATGGAGCCTTGCTCTGCCAGGGACCCCGCGGCTCTCTCCCTATGCACCCGTCCACCTCCACCTCCACTTTCCAGCTCCTCTTCAGAGCTGCTTCCCAGCATGGCAGCCTGCAGAGCTAGCAAAGTTCTTGGAGAGGGAGGGGCCCCATCAGGCTCTCTCTCTGGCTTTGGTATGTCACAGGGAGGTGGCTTCTTCTCAAAAGACATGCTGTGCATTCTGCTGGAAGACGGAAGAGACTCTGAATCCATTTCAACACCTTTCTTGGCTTGAATACCTTAAGAAAAATGAAAGCATTACTACTTAGTTCGACAGTGTGATATGTGATACTGTGCTTCTAGTAAGATGAACAAGAGAATTCTGGTTCCTATAAAGAAAGATATAAATTTTAACTAGTGACTAAGAGTTCATTCACAAGTTAATTTTGAAGTGGGCTGGCATTATAGTAGTTCATTCATATCTATACACAATGTCATTACTTAAGCTAGACTTTGTTGGAATCACTCGTGGATGGTAGGATATCAAATTCAGAACTGCAACCTATCTTTTGGATTTTTAGCTGTCAAGTAAATGGCAGTGCCTAGTACCTTTGATCAGGATGTAGTGAGAGGTGTCTTCTGAGACTACTCTCCTCGACTCTACCTCCTTGAAGAAGCCCCCTTCATCTTCATATTGCCTCTGGATTTGTCCTGAGTGCTGCTGATTCATTTCCCTCTGGACATTTTCTATCTGTTGGTTTAGGTAGTTTTTTTTGAGCAAGCCTTTTAGTTGATACTGTGAAAAGTCATCCGACTCCTAAAGGCAAAATAAACAAATTATTTTACTTCCACTGCAGATAATATCATTATTTTTACCTCCAAAAGAGGACAAAGAGTAATTGCCTTTTTTCACTAGTGGTCATTTTCATAGTATAAAAGTAATCTTTAGACTGGGTGCTGGTGGCCCATGTGTGTAATCCTAGCTACTCAGAGGCTGAGATCTGAGGATCACAGTTCAAAGCCAGCCCAGGTAGGAAAGGCTTTGTTAAACTCTTATCTCCAATTAATCACCAGAAAACTGGATGTTCAAAAACTGTGGTTCAAAGTGGTAGCAAGCTAGCTTTGAGCAAAAGAGCTCAAGGACCACGCCCAGGCCAACAACAACAACAACAAAAGTAATCTTTAAAACAAAAAGAAATTAGAAAAATTGCTTATTATTTAATCCTTTCATCAAAAACCATTTTCTGAGTATGTTATAAATAACAGTGTTATGACATTTGAATTATCTTCCAGAATGCAAGCAAGTATGATAACTTAAAAAAAAACAACTTGTATTATCATTGGCCTATAGAAGATGCAGCTAAACCATGGTTGTCACCATCATTAATTTGTTATCATTTCCAAAGTATTTTCCATAATGGATATTCTCCTAAGTACTTTTCATAAACTACTTCAATTATTCTTGCAAGCCTCCTATGAGACATATTATCTCTATTCTACATGGAGGAAATTGAAACATCAATTGCTTAAGTAATCTCTAGAGTCACATGGCTAATAAATGGTAAATCTGGGATCAAGAGCAGACTGATTTATACTTGAATCTATTACTATTATGATCATTAATATGACTGCTTATCACTACTGCTGTCAGTGTCACACCTGCACAGGGCACAGGTGATATAAAAGTCTGCCTGGATGACTCAGAGCCGCTACTCCATCAGTAGTCTATGCAGGGTGCTCCAATTCCATACTGCTCAAAACACTACATACCCTAGCGATACTGTGGTTTGCAGTGGGGACCTCCTGTGGACCTGGGGGCACCCCAGAGAATGAGGAGAACTCCTCCCCACTACCAGCACAACCTTGGGCACTCTCAAGAGCCCAGGCAAGCCAAACTGAGAGTATTGGAAAAAGTGACAGTCACAGTGAGAATCTCAACCCCCACTGAAGAAAACCTACATCAGAGAATTGGCGCTCGTCTTCACAACAATGCCCAAAATGCATAAGGCCCAGTTCACCTCCCTGTGGAAGACCACTCTGGGGAGCAGGGCTGCAAGATGTGTGGGAAGTCACCTGTACGCAACGCTGCTCCAGGATGAGGCCCAGCCTTGGAGGCACCCTCCCTCATAGTTAGCGTTTTCTTATATTCATATTCTACATGGAAAAATGGAAGAGAATTGTGGGGGGAAATGCACCCTATTTTTTTCTATTCCTCTCTATTTTTCACATCAACTTAATATTCAAAAGTCTACAGGAAATTTTTAAAAAGCACTAAAGCCTTACTCATTAGGGGTAAAATAGAAATACAGGTGGTGACAGTAGAGATGGAAGTAGAACTGATGCAGAGAATAATTAACAGCAGCATGAACTAGGTGGTCACTGGTAACAAGACCAGAAGACATACACAGCAACCCCACCACACACCAGCCCTGCTCCAGTCTCCCTGGCCATAGCAATCCCATTCCCACTGTCCAAAAGGAAAGAAAACATGGAAATCCAACATCTTCCTGGGCAGAGCAGAGGAAAATATACCTGGAATTTCAGGCCAAGACATATTTTGCCACTGTATTAAATTGTATATTATCACTAGTTTATTATTTTACAGATTTATCATTTATCACTATCATTTATCTATCCTTTAACATTATTTTATAGATAATGTATATTAAGGTTTAAAATAACTGCTAGAAACTAACTGAAGAACTGAATCACAAAGCACTTAGTAGGCTTTTAGTATAGGAAAGCAGCTGAGCTTCCTGCTGAGCTGAGAAGTTTAGCATGTTTTATTGTTAAGAATCATGAAGTGAGGGGCTGGGAAGGTGGCTCAGTGGTAGAGCGCTTGCCTTGCATGCATGAGGCCCTGGGTTCGATTCCTCAGCACCACATAAGCAGAAAGAAAAAAGCCGGAAGTGGCGCTGTGGCTCAAGTGGTAGAGTGCTAGCCTTGATCTGAAGAGCTGGGGAACAGAGCCCAGGTCCAGAGTTCAGGCCCCACAACAGGATCCCCACCCCCCAAAAAAAGAACCATGAAGTGAGCTGGATGCGGGTGGCTCTTGCCTAAAATCCTAGCTAGTCAGGAGGCTGGAATGTAAGGATCACAGTTCAAAGCCAGCCAGTGCATAAGTCCATGAGCCAATTATCTCCAATTTACCACCAAAAAGAGAGGAGAACTGTGGCTCAAGTGGTACAGTGCTAGCATTGAGCTCCAAGACCAGCACATACACAAAAAGAACTATGAGGTCTGGGAAGGTGGCTCAGTGGTAGAGTACTTGCCTTGCATGCCTGAGGCCCTGGGTTTGATTCCTCAGCACCACATAAGCAAAAAGAAAAAATCCGGAAGTGGCGCTGTGGCTCAAGTGGTAG